TGCAGTTCATCTTATTTCAGTTCATAAAATATAAATATGTTATAATACAGATATTAGATGAATCTTTTGATATCATGGATGTGGTGCCGGTGGTTGAACGCTTTACTTTAGACCTCGAAGTCGGTAGGTTTGTTTTGATCACTTATTTATTTATTTTGATCGAATAACACCGTATGACTTGTCTCTATATTCTTTTTATTTTACTATAATGCAAGAGGCAAAGCTAGCGAACATGCATCTACAATTTGTCACAGAAGCTGGCGTCTGTCGCTATCAAAAGGAAGTTAACAGAAACATGGACGCAAAAGTGATGGTTCTATGGGACATGAATGACACTCATTATGTTGTTTGTGAGGGGTTCCTTCTAGACATAGGGTCGATCTACGGAAACTTAAATAAACTCAATAAGACATACAGAAATACAGTTTCACAAAGTGTATATATTGTAAATATTGTACATTAGATAAATGTATATAAAGGATAAATGTATATAAAGAGAATGATAGTGGCTACTTATTCTTTGTATTGTTATTTCAATGTATTGTGTGTACATTTATATTTATTTGTGTTACTGTTTTTGTAAATAATATAGATAAATGATTAATAAACGGCTGAAAATGTTCTAACTAGTCATTACTTTGTGTTAAAAAGGCACGGTCTTTCCCAATATAACAATACATTGATTAAGGGGTCGAATTGTCCGGTATATTTAAGGGTTCTAAGTGTCTAAGGGGTCTAAGTGTCAGGTCTAAAGATTTTCTTGGCGATGAAGGGGAATGCCGCCCCCTTCAAACCCACTAAATAGAAGGGAGCATATCGCCCTTCTTGCAACCCCTTGATGTACCATTTTGATGGGTCGGTGCCGGGAAAGTGACCACTTTTTAACAACATTTCCCAAACGAAAAACAGTGTTTTGGGCTAATTAGGGTATTTTTTCAATGTTTGAGGCTTCGAAAGGGGGGGGGGGGGCAAAAGTCATCAAAACACGTCCATATGATGAAAACGAATGGAATTATCCAACAGTTTGTTTTTCCATGTTAACACGGGCCCTTACACCTAATTAATTTCAGTGATTAGCACATATATTGACAAAACATTCGTATGTTGACACACCAATGTTTTTATTTTTTTGAAATAACATATATACAAATTCAATCATGGCACTTGCACCAAAAGTGACCAAAACAGTAACACTGCATCTATCCAAACTAATAAAATTACTCTCTTAATAATGTTAAAGTAATCGCATCCTTGTGACAAAAAGGAAACACGCAATTACAATAGTTTAAGTTATTGAGTCCGCAGCTTTTCAATTACTTGATGATTGTCTATTCTGAAATCTGGCACAAACCTTTCCCACCAATCTATTCCATTCCTTTTTAAATAATGTGCCACTCATAAAATAAAAGAAAAAGTTAAAGGAAAAATTACAATTAAGTAACATGTTTACAATGGCTGTTGCAAGCTGCCACTTCGCAAAACTTTCTGCGCTTAGTTGGACTGTTCGCCATCTTGCGACGAAGTATATGCAAAAAGGGGTGGTTGTAATAACATAAAATATACCCAGAATACACAGTAACTTAGCAGACGACTTTCTCCGGTTGTAATTTATTGTATTTCCATCTGGATGCACGCGAGAGTCTGTGCGGTTTCCACTGAAGAGAATCGCGGTAGCAATTTTGATGTTGCCAACAATTATGATCAACGCAGGCACGACGTTGTAGATTATCATCACAATGGTATTCCAGTATAACTGATAAAACCGTTCATATTCCTGGTTAGCGAAGTAACAACGAAACGGCATTTGGATATGATGTGAACCGTTGATTGCTATTTGGTCAATTTTATGAAAACGAAAGCCATAAATCATGTGACTGTTGATGGTTGCTATGAAGAAAAGAACTATCATTGACACGATGAGAGAACTGCTTGGTGTTACATTGTTTCTTGCAAAAACCGGACATTTCGTTAGTAAGATTCTTTCTATTGTCAAGAGAACGAGTAGCCAAGTTGAAAATGATCCAGAAGTTAATGAAATCCATGTTCTTATTCGGCATACCCCTGGCATATAGTCATCGATACGCCTTCCTAAGATACTCAGAACTGTATCTGGTACTAAAGATACCCATAACACAATGAGCTCAGTGATGGCAAGAATAATTATATACACGGTTGTAGAATACTTTCTCAGTTGTTTTCCTGATAGAATTATAATATTTAATATATTTCCACAGGTGCCAATAAACAGTAATATAAATGGTATCGTTCGCCAAATCCAGTATGCAATTATACATCCAATGAAGTAATTTGGACTACAGTCCCCAACGTAATAATAATTAGGTTTAGGCATGGCAGTTGACAGTCTGTTATGATGATATAAATAATGCACGTCTTGGTGTGCGGTATTTATTAGTAAGTGTCTTTCTAATATGGAACGCCAAATTTACATTCTTTAGACTATTTTCACTTCAATTTAATTACGGAAGGAAGTGATGTTTTACTGCAATATTACACCTTGTTACTTCCTTCATAGTAGAAAATAATATTTCAAAAGATGAAACCAATCATTCTATAGTTTCAGAATACTTGTAAATCTAAAGTTTTAATAAAAACTCATCGGGGAAAAAATTTTCGTAACAGTTTTCTCAACAACTATGTATCACAGCCTCTTGATATTTGGCAAACAGCATTGATACATGGTCCCATACTGTGGGATTTGATTTTAGGTCTGTCGCTCATCCACTTCCTGTTTATCCACTTAGTTAAATTAGTTAGATTTTTCGACATTAATGGTCAATGGTAGGAAATTTTCGTAAAAGTTTTCTCAGCAACTACTTATCACAGCCTCTTGATATTTGGCATACAGCATTGACACATGGTCCCATACTGTGGGATTCGATTTCAGGTCTGTCGCTCATCCTCTTCCTGTTGATCCACTTAGTTAAATTAGTTAGATCTTTCGACATTAATGGTCAATGGTAGGAAATTTTCGTAACAGTTTTCTCAGCAACTACTTATCACAGCCTCTTGATATTTGCCATGCAGCATTGACACATGGTCCCATACCGTGGGATTGGATTTCAGGTCTGTCGCTTATCCACTTCCTGTTTATCCATTTAGTTAAGTTAGTTAGATTTTTCAGCATTAATGGTCAATGGTATGAAATTTTCGTAACAGTTTTCTCAGCAACTACTTATCACAGCCTCTTGATATTTGGCATACAGCATTGACACATGGTCCCATACTGTGGGATTCGATTTTAGGTGTGTATCTAATCCACTACCTGTTTACCAACTGAATTAAATTTTCGACATTAATGGGTCAATGGAAAATTTTTTTCGTAACAAATCAGCCTCATGATATTTGATGTACAAATGCAACCCGGCCTTTACTGTCTTTGACCCATTTTTAATTCTTAAAAGTCCTGGAATCAATGGTCAACAAAGACCAGAAAAAACAACAACATTGAAATAAAACAGGGGGCAACTTAAACAGTAGCTGCTGTCACACCCCCTGCTGTTAAGAATAAAAATCTGGAAGAAGGATGCGCCCACAACAGCATTTATCACAAATAATACACAAATGCAGGCTCGGTTTGATTATGTCTGTACACGAGAGATCATGAAAAAGTCAGTATCACTGTCCTTTATTTTACAAAATATGGTTACCCATTGTTGATAAAATTCAGACATAAATGGCTTACCATATATAGTCTATTTAGCCCTATAATTTTTATTGCATGCTGAATAATCGCATGTTTTACCGCGTGACAAATGTTCGTGTTTTACTTTAATTGCACCTGTTTAATTAAAGGCATTTTCACATCAAGGGTGTGTTTATTTATAATTAATTTATAATAATTATAATAATTACAATAATTATTATAAAAATAATAATGATAACATGAAATTCGTTCAACAGATGAAAACAAAATAATTAATCGGGCACCTAGTTATGGGGACAGTTGCGCAAGACGTTGGGTACTTTTTAGATGTACGTTAACGAGTTTTAATATTTTTTTTTACAATTAGAAACATCCACTCAAGCCGCTTTATATTGTTTAATAGTACCATTATAATGAGTAAGTCTATAATTACTACGATTAATACGATTTTCAGTCCTGTGATTAATTTTTAAAATCAGGTTTTTAATAATTCGTTTGATTTGGTTTGAATGTTATACTTTCCCCTGTCTTTCTGTTTTAAAAGAAAGAAAATTGTTAGATGACATAAGAGAGTTATATGCTAAAAATCTCGTCATTTTTGTGTGTAAAATTTGTTACTTCCCTCATATTTTACAAGTAGCTGTGTATTAAAGTGAGTACTAAAAGAAAATATGGAAAAAAACTTGCAAACTGAGTATACGTCCAGTTGCTCACGATACATTTATCTTTGATAAAATTCAGGTGACGTTAATAAGATTTACACAATAAATTTAATTTAATTTTATCCATAAAATTATTAAACAATGTGGTAAACAATGGTTTTTGCATTGCTACATGACTTACGTGTTGTAAGGTCGATATTGTGTAAAGCTATGTTTTGTTGTTGTTTGTTGTTCATTTATTTGTTTGCATGTCTTATATTTTCAAGATTGATATTTTTAATTGTTTTTGTTTAAATATGTTTTGCACGTATTTAGCGAAATGTGTCCTCTTCTGAAAAAAAATCTTTAATAATTTATACATTTATACAGGGGCGGATACAGAACAGAGCTGACTGGGGGGCTGACATGAAGAGTTGAACTACATTTGGGTAGATACGGAAGGGGTGTCCCCTCCCTTTTGGTGGGAATACGGAAAATTTGAAAAATGAAGGTCTTAAATGGTGCATTCTGGTGCATTTTTTGGCCTTTATTTGCATTCATTATAGCACAGATTAATAAACAACAGACAACAAGATGATACAACTTTATCAATATTTTAATACTTGGATATAAATGCTAAAAAAACAAGATAATCATCTACTGAGAACTACAAAATGATAAACAATCCCTTGTGTCTGGTGGGGATTGAATGTCTTTCTATTTATTTTTTTTGCCATAGGTGTAGTTCAGAGTCAAGGGACTGAGGTGACGGTAAATCTTCTGAAAACCATTCTAGGTTAGTGGCATCAAGAGTCTGGGGATTTTCACACATATAGGAAGGAATCAAAGCTAGTCCCATAGCAGCCTTCCTCTGTAGCTCACCAAAACGTTCATTCATCTGCAATAGCAGAGTGTCAAGAAATCCAATAGTCAAGTTCATCCTGTAATAATCCTCTTGGGTAGAGGCCTCTGCATTTCCTTTCATAGTTTGTCGTCCACATGTTCTAGGTTTAGCAGGTACAGTCCCTAAATTGTCGGCTATCAACACTGCCTCTTGGTACCATCTCTGTTGATTGTCACTGATGTTAGTGCGGACGCCCTGGAGAGTCTCAGTGACAACATTGACCTCGGCCATAGCTTTGACAACATCAACTGCCCTGCCTTTAATTAAAGCATAAAAAAATAATTCAGATTGGATTTACAATAAGTTAGGTATATCATATTATCATCTATCTATCTATCTATCTAATGCTTACTATCTCAATAAATGAGGAAATGATTCTAAAAACATGATTTCTTGAGTATTTAATATAAAATATAATAACAAAGATTAACAAGGGAAGCAAAACAGGCAAACAGGAGATAGCACAAGGTTTTATTGCTCTTAATTCAATAAAAGTAAGCCATTGGTAGATTTGAGTCAGATTAGCAACAGCTGATCTTACCTTGTAAGGAAACTGTTAGAGGTTTGATGTAACTGAGACACCGTGTCACAACAACCAATACTACGATAAACTGGAATGAGGTTATCGCCAGCAGAAATCCTGATATATCTGCGGATGTAGTTGATCTGGTCTCAACAGACATAATCTGAGACATGGCTTCTACCATTGCTGGGAGGAAATCAATGAAGATCTCTAGTGCATCGTGCCTCTCTACCCAACGTGTTCGATATAACTCCTGGAATTTACATTATATTAAAGATCCTGTATGTTTAGTGATTGATACTGTTATTATGTGTATACCACACTTGCAAAATAATATTGTAATAGTGCCGGACGACACGTGATCACAAATATATCTTTAAACGACACTTTACCCAGGTTCTCTGAACTCTTAATTGCCAACCAGTGGCTAGGATGGTGGTGTAGGACGCTACCTTTAATTTACTCTTATTAAGAAAGTATAACACAAGACTTTATAAATTTAACATTACGAGATTTATTCAAATGATAATCATAGACTTATTTAAACTACAATCGTATAATTTATTTACCAAAAGTATGAATAAGACTATATATTTAAGCAGAATCTACCAACAACGAGTTATTTATTTAAAAAGAATTTTTAAGTATTTATTAATAAGTTTAGCCTAAATTCTAAAATCATATAGTTTTCAAAGAGTCAAAACTATTAAGTTTTGAAAGAGTGCCAAAGCTCTAAAGCTTTGAAGTGAACTGACCTGTCGGCCAGTTCCCAAGACAAGATATATAAAAATTCACCCGGTATTTATACACTTTTGGTAGTCATGACAATGCTTAACTATAAGATTGATTGGTCAAAATTACTCATAACAAGTTCTGAACTAATCGAATTATATTAATCAAGTGGACCAATAAAAATGTAAATCTAAACCGAAAGAGCCAATCAAGAGGACTTTAACAGATTAACGTTAGGGAAAGAAGCCAAAATGGACGACAAATGAATGGTATAAATTTGACAACTAAATATTTTATCAAAACACGGTCCTATTACATTCCTCCTTCCTTAATTAAAAGACGTGTGGGTTATAACAAAAGGAATATCCACAAAAATTTAAAGGTAGTATTTAATTATTAAAGTAGCTTACTAATAATTGGAAAAAGGTACTTTACTCCAAAAGTAGATCTAGATATCGAACTATTAATATTATATCAAAATTGTACGGTAAAAGGTAAACATCAAAAATTTAATTCAAGCAATCTAAATTCTATCAAATGCATGAAGATTTAATTTGTTCAGAACTGTATTCAGGAAAATTATTAACAAACAAAATAAGTCTGAGATTGAAATGTATGATGATCAATAAATCTCCTTTATTAACAAAATAACAAGGATTATACATCCAATCCTTTAAAGAACAACCAAAAATAATAACAAATGTAAAACAACAATATCACAATATTATATATATAGTATGACTGAGGCTATGAATGCACATTAAGACTGTCAATCATCCAGATAATCTAGCTCAACATTCCTGTCGTACCTGTTGTCCAAAATCTCATTCTGTGCCCGTGCCTGTCTCTCCTGTCTGTCGCTTTCTTTTCGCTCCTCCCTTTCCTGTACCCTTCTCAATTCCTCTTCCTCTCTATTCCTTCTTTCCTGATCAGCCTGTCTCTGATCCTCCTCAGACCTTCTCTGCCGTTCCTACAAGTCAGGGTAAACAAATTTCCTGGCATTGCCTGGATCTCGATATGTAGGGTTGGCTGCCCTCTCTTCTAAACAAACATGAGCTTTCCCTGCTGAAGAATTGTGTCTTTTAGCATCATACTTTCGTGTCAATACTTTTTTACAAGTTACACAGACAAAGACTGTCCTCATGTAGATGTCCCTGTTCGACCAATGTTTCGCAAAGTCATTATACTTGGTAAAAAAGGTATCTGTCCTGCAGTTTGGCACTGGGCAGCATGCCCCCTGGCGTAGTCATACAGGTCTATCAGCCATACTTAATCAATGATAACGTATTGTAGATATTGATTACAAACTGAAATATTAAAAAAACAAATAAATGATCATTATATCATGTATATAGTACATAAACAATAACAATCAATCAATACTTCATGAAATTACTCTTAATCATAGGAAAATATTCCTATTTTAATTAACACTAAGCATTGAACCCTAATATTTACATTTGCTAACATTAACTCTTACATATGTAACAGTTCTTTAAGCACAATTATCTTAATAAAACACAATCAATCCTGTGTTCATATTTCTTTTAATTTTAATAAAGTTTACTAGAAATATTTACATTCTACATAGTTCTTTGTCATGTAAGAACTATTATATTTATCTTAGATTATATATCTAAGTTTTAATTACACAAATACTTAATCATGAATGTATACATTTTTTTTTAATTTTATATATCATTTTAAAAACAAAACATGTACACAAAAAAAATCATATTATATATCAACTATTATAATTGATATTAGTTAATTTTCTAAAAGCAACTTTAATTGCTGAACCCACTTATTTACAAATTATGAACTATAATTAAGCCTTATGTCTTAATTATTGACCGCTTAATGATTAAGCACTGCGTGCTTAAGTAAAAACCCTACATTGATAATATTTCTCTGGGTTTTATTTGTCTTTCACGCCTAGACCTTGGTACAAAAGGAATTTCTTTGTTTTTATTCTTTTCATCATCTGAATTAATCTGAACATTTGTATTTTCATTTTCAGAACATAACATTTGATTAGGAGATTCAGACTCCAAATTTACATATTGATTTGCCTTTAACCAATTGCTAGGAGGCACTTTTCCCTCATAATTTTTTTAGTGATCTACATGAACCACAATAGGATTAGAATCTTCAGACTTCTGAATTTTATAAGTCAAATATGTAATTTTACTCAAAACGAGATATGGGCCTATCCAACCTTGTTTCAATTTTTTATTTACAGAGTGTGGATACCATCTCCAAATCCAGTATCCATTTAAAAATTCCCTAGGTTTTAAATCTCTTTCATCATGTTCATAGTACTTCTTCTGCCAACTAGCAGCCATATTCAGTTGGTGAAAAGCAAATTCATATGATTGTCTCAAAGAAGTTTTCACCCATTGAACATATTCAATTGGACATTCTACTTCTGTAGTATATAGTGGAAGTCCTACCATTAAATCAATAGGACAATCCAACTCTCTCCCTAACATAAGTAAATTTGGGGTACAACCCGTACTTTTATGTTGTGTAGAACGATAGGCTGCTAAGACATAACACAGATGGTCATCCCAGTCTGTTTGATTTTCTTTAAGGGAAACAAAATGAGATAACATCTGCACTATAGTCTTATTAGCGCGTTCAATCATCCCGTCCGATTTCGGGTTATAAGGACAAGTCCTAGTCTTATCAATTTTTAATAAGGAACATAAACTTGAAAATAATTGGGACTCGAATTCTCTCCCCTGATCTGTATGTATTTGAGCAGGAAACCCATATTGTAAAAACACCTGAGTAATAAGGGTATCTGCTACAGTATAAGCTGTATGGTTTGGAACAGCAAAAGCCATTGTCCATTTAGTAACGTAACACCCACAGACTATAATATACTCATTATTCTGGTTTGTTAAAGGAAGAGGGCCCAAAATATCTATAGCTAACGACACGTGATCACAAATATATCTTTAAACGGCACTTTACCCAGGTTCTCTGAACTCTTAATTGCCAACTAGTGGCTACGATGGTGGTGTAGGACGCTACCTTTAATTTACTCTTATTAAGAAAGTATAACACAAGACTTTATAAATTTAACATTACGAGATTTATTTCATATAGATTTCAAAGAGTCAAAACTATTAAGTTTTGAAAGAGTGCCAAAGCTCTAAAGCTTTGAAGTGAACTGACCTGTCGGCCAGTTCCCAAGACAAGATATATAAAAATTCACCCGGTATCTATACACTTTTGGTAGTCATGACAATGCTTAACTATAAGATTGATTGGTCAAAATTACTCATAACAAGTTCTGAACTAATCTAATTATATTAATCAAGTGGACCAATAAAAATGTAAATCTAAACCGAAAGAGCCAATCAAGAGGACTTTAACAGATTAACGTTAGGGAAAGAAGCCAAAATGGACGACAAATGAATGGTATAAATTTGACAACTAAATATTTTATCAAACACGGTCCTATTACAATATAAATGTATATAGTTATGCAAATAAACATTTTCAAACATCCAAGAATATGTAAAATGTGTACTGCAAATATTGTGCACAATATATTTAATCAATAAATTACATGCATTCCAATCTCATTAAAATCAGATCTTCGTTTTTTGTTCCGTTACTCTTTGCCTACCCTACGAGCGTAGGGTAGTGAAGCGACAGTTAGGATATGATTTTAATGAGATTGCATGCATTCATTTCTTATTGGAAAATTTAACTTAAACTTTATAGAAATGAATTTCTAATTACCTCCTTTATTTACTTGAAATGTTAAATTTGGTAATATCTTTTTAAATAATGCTTATGACAACTAACAATATTGACAAATCTTAATTTGAGCATCATATTTATAAAAATAAAACCATGAAAAAATTGTGTTACAGGATCTTTAAAATAAAGATTGTTATAGATTAAAATATAAAACAATTAAAATATTTAGCAAAGTGATGTAAAAGTAACTATAAAATTAAAAAATGTGTTCTATTTAGACAACACGAGAGCTATTGTTGCCCCTTTCTGCTCACCTTACAGACCTCGTCTTTTGAAACTTGGCTTTAAGTTTTATGCTTGGCTTAAATCTTTTTATGCTAGAAAATTTTACAAATGTTATGTATAATGAAGCTTACCTTAATTTTCATTCGCTGATTCTCTGAGCCTTCTTGTGCTGCCCTACAGTCCTCAAGGTATGTCTGTCGTTTAGGTGAAAAGTTAAAGAACATGGCGATCTGTGAATAAAAAGCAAAATATTATAAATTATTCTCCTCAAACATATCTTGTAGTTGCATGAAAAAAATCAGTCAAACTGATTGACTGGAAACATATGTTAATATGTTCTAAAGCTATATGCCTCCAGAGTCAAAATATTTCAATAAAATCTGACTTAAGAAAAATGTACATAAATTTTAGGGTTGTAAGTGGCCTTGAAAATGTGTAAATGGCTTCCTTCTGGTTACGTCACATAGATACAGTTTCAAGATTTTCATAAATTAGCATGAATCTGGAGGTGTGCTGCTTTAAGAATCTATTCTTAATGTTATTAATATGCCTTGATGTTTTACTTAAAATCACCATTAATGTTATACCTTATGTACTGTGCCCATCATGTTTCTGACCAACTTGTTGTCACAGGCATGCACTACACATCTATTCAGCTGATGGGCTGTACACCAAAATGGTAAGGCTCGAGGATATTGGCGTTGAATCCTTGGTCCAACTCCTTTCACCTTTCCGGTCATGTTTCCTGAAATATAAATTAAGTTACAAGTTGGAGACTTGAAATTCATTCAAATAAATACTAATAAATTTTAATATTTCAATATGATTTAAAAGCCAATCTCGTAATTTAGCATACTTAAAGGCAAGTAATGCCAGACAAGTCATTATTGTAGCAACAAGTTATTTCCCTCTTGGTTAATAATACCAGTGAATAACACATCTTTGCATGAACCAAATATATTTCAAATTGATGAAAACTAACCTGCACCGTCATAGCACTGGCCCCTCATCTGATGTTTGTCCAAGTCTACACTGTCTAGCACACCAAGTATCTCCTCAGACAACCTTTCACCACTTGTGTCAGAACTGACGTCGACAAATGTCAAGAACTCCTCTCTTATACTATCTAAAAAAGAAAGTAAATTTAAAATCATTAATGTAAAGTCACTGGGACTTGATGGCAATAAAAGTGATATGAATATAATATGGGCATTTCTCTCAAGAATATGAGTCCAAGGTTCAAACCCCAACAACGACAATTGATTGCACAAAAGTTAATGTAATATTACATATCAGCATGCTGATTTTTTGTATGATTTCTCTATTAATAATTTCCTGCTCATGACATTTTTTCTTTCATATATAAATATATTTGGAAGCTTATTTCTGTAATGGATTAGTAAGTGTATTATGTATTTACATACAAATATTTTTCTTACCAGATTTGTCAGGGAATCTGATGCAGACTGCCAGCTGTTCTTTGTTTGAAACGTCACGTACTTCATCAGCTGAAATGGCATAGAAATAGCCACCATCCTTTACATCTCCCACTATTTTCTCTTTCACAATGTCAACCATAATATCAATCAGTTCATTTTGTGTAGTCTTTGACCTGTATGTTGCGTTTTTAGGGGCTGTTTCAAAATGTTCTTTCAAAAGTGAATCACCAGCGTCAAGTCTGAACTCAAGCAGTGCTTGGAAATTTCCACAGTTCTGATCTTCATGTAAATACTTGGAATCATCACCATGACCACGCAAGGTAATATTCTGTCTAGCACATTACAAACAGTTTTAGTGGTGGACTGTAAAACTCTGAAGTTTTTCTCTTCTCTGGCCTTCAGGGCAGTGTTGATCATCTTGTTCACTGGCATGTTTGACAACACAGACGCAGTGAACTGTTCAGCATGCACTTTATTGTCCATGTGAGCATGGTATCCATTTCCGCCATCTTTCACGTTTCTTTTCTGTTCTTTGAAATGGCCATTGAAAACCTCCAAAGCGCGCTTCCAGTTTCTGAAGGGCTCTGATGCTAACTGACCACGCTTAAGGCTGATTCCTGGAAATGTCACACAATAAACACAGTATGCAGCATCTTCACTAGCACTATAAACCAGTCCTGGAAACTTTGTAAGCCAAGTTCTCTGAAAGGACGGGGCTGAATCCGCGGCTGTTATATCTGCATCGACTAAAATTTAATTTCATAAAATACATCACAAAAAAGTTACAAAGCAATGTTTTAAGTTGCTGCACTACATTGTACATGATTGCAAAAAAAGAGATTCATTTCATTTGTTTAAAAGTGAATTGGTTGTCAATAAATGTACAAGTACATACAAACAATCACATTAATCACCTTTACACTTTGTCACATTTTAAACATTTCAAGTTCATGAAAACCTTTTTATTTACATTTTCGTCATTTGGGAAGACAATATTTTCTTATCTCTGTATGTTGTTGCTATCAGGCAATTACACCGGAAGTTGGAAGTAGTTATCAGGCAGTTACAAAGTCCACACACAAAATGGACTGTGTAACTGTCTGATGACATCAACAACATTAATAACGGCACTATTTTTAAGTATAGTTTCTGCACAGGTCATTTTACATACAAAAGAAATGAATTTAACTGTTTAATAATAAACCAAAAGCGGCTATAAAATGTAGAAATGTAGCAATATTATGTATTGAGGATTGTTTACCGAGACTTAATATCTTGGAATCTGATTTGAATTAAATCCAGCATATTACACGTTGTCTTCATCTTAAATAGTTTTGCATTGAACAAAATGGGTAGGTATAGAGATGTTCACTGCAATTGCCATGATACATCTGGATTTTCCTATATACATTTCTTAATTCAAAATATTTTTTTTTAATTTTGTTATTATCTGTTGATGCAATTTGGGAAGTGCTGCAGGCACCTGTTGCTTTATTGCTTTATTTCAACAATAATTAAATCGTGTTTACTAATATATAAAGAGAAAAGAAATCCAATGAAAGTATATAATAATAAATACATAGAAACTACTTTGCCTATCTAGCAACAAGAACGCCTTTTGGCCAGATTAACACTGAATAACTGACAACACAGATATGATAATCATACTGTCAATATGTCTTCAGTTAATTACTATTATGTTGGCGACTGTGAACCTAACTAATTTATTGAATGCCAAATAGCATACTTTGCATGGCGTATTTTCCCGGGCATTGTACTGTTCTTCGGTACCTGTGGAAACATTATGAATATCATCATTTTCATCAGAAGTCGGCTGCAAAAATATTCAACGACAGTGTTTCTTCTAATTCTGGCGGTAACAGATCTTGTTTTATTATGGATTTCTTTGGTTCTGGACACAACATATGGTATCACAGGGCGTCGAATTGAGGACGAATTTTTAGTCATATGCGAATTGAGATATGGGCTTCTTTTCACATCTGGTTCGTATGATTAATTGAAAGGACACTTTTAACAAAAGCGCCAGTATTCTCTAATAGGAAAGTGACTCCAAGGAATCGCCTACTTGGGTGTATTTTAATATCATTGTCACATGATTTACTGACGGTCGAACAGGTCTTATGATGCCCGTCATAATAACTTACATTATCGGTGTTTCTGTGTTTGTGATGAATATATGGTATCCATTAGTCATTTTACAGGGTTTTTTTCTTTTGACAATGTTTACGACGGTCAAACAGTTTTTATGACGCCCATTATATCGGTGTTTTTATGTGTGAGATTAATATATATGGCATCCGTTAGACATTTGTAGAGTGTTTTTTTTTTTTTTTCGTTTGACAATGTATAACCAGCACTCATAGTAATTATCCGGAACGCGAACATTATTGTTTTACTATTTCTAAGAAGTCGTGGTTCCACGACAAGGATACAATCGGTTACCAACAGTAGAAGTAGAAGTTTCTAGAAGGAAGGCGTCAACTAAATTGTTGTTTATTTTAAGTGTATTTTACCTCGTTACAACAACACCGTGGTGCCTTTATATAGTCTTAAGAAGCAAACTGACCGAGCTCGGGGAGGAAGGTTAACTTAGTTTTGCAAGATGGCAGCTGTTAACTGTGATTGTCAATTCTTTGCTATGGTCAGACTTGTCATTTATTTTCTTTTTTAACTTCATGAACGGCATTATATTCAAAAATTACTATGATTAACAATTTTAAAGAACTAATATTTGAATAGAGAAAATGTCAATAAAAACGCC